CCATGCTACCTTTCCAGACAAAGATAAGAAGGAATTATCTCTAGCTGGTCTCAAAGGTACGAGTGGCATGGAGATAGCTAATGGATGACATGTATTAAGACTAACAAAAAAACTCTCCAGGTATGGTCTACACTTCTACTATACCTACCAAACATTTTGGCTGACTAAATCATCACAAACAGAGCCTTTATTATTGGTCTACACCAGATTTTAATACCAATTTATTTAAAATGTATTTCCTAATGAGGGGCAGAATGGCATAGTGGATAAAGAGTTGGCCTTGGATCCAGAAAAACTTGGGTTCAAGTGCTGTCTCAATGCATACCAGCTGGGTGATCCCTGAGAAGGCCATTTAAAACCAATGTCTCCACTGCTTTTTTTCTCACTCTCTTCTTAACTTTGTGCAGTCTTGACTTTCAATCTCATCTTTCTATTGAAACTGCTCTCTCCAAGTTACCAATGATCTCTTAACTGCCAAATGTGATGGCCTTTTCTCAGTCTTCATTCTTCTTGACTTCCATGAAGCCTTGACACTGTTGGCCATCCTCTTATCTTTGCTCCTCCCTCTAGGTGTTTGGGGACACTGTTCTCCCTTGGTTCTTTTCCTACATGTCTGACTGATCCTCAGTCTCTCCTGCTGGATCTTTACCTAGGTGGTATCTGCTAACTATGTGTGTCCCTCAATGCTTTGTCCTCATGAACCATCTTCTCTTTTCTCTCTACACTATTTTGCTTGGTGATCTCATCAGCTTCCCCAGATTCCATCATCATTTTTATGGAGATGACTCTGAGATCTTCAGCCCTAACCACTCTCCTGACTTCCAGTCTCACATCTCCAACTGCCTATTAGACAGACATATCAATGGATATCCCATACATCAGCAATTCAGTATATCCAAAACTGACCTCATTATCTTTTCTCTAAAACTAACTTCCTTATTACTGTTGAGGGCCCCATCATCCCCACATTTACTTAAGCTCACAACTAAGATATTATCCTTGACTTCTCACTCTTTCTCACTGTGCTTCCCCTACCCTTCTTATCCAATCTCTTGCAGAGTTCTATTAATTCTACCTTCTTAACATTTCACATATGCCCCCTTCTCCTCTGATACTGCTACCACCCTGGGGCAAGGCCTCATCACCTCACACCTGGACTACTGAAATAGCCTGGTTGGTTTCCCTGCTTCAAGTCTCTCTCCTTGATCTAATCCATTTTTCACTCAACTGTCAAAATGATCTTCCCAAAGCACACATCTAACCATGTCACACACACCCCTCATTCAATAAATTCCAATGGCTCCCTATTACCCCTAGGATCAAATATTAAACCATCTGTTTAGCTTTTAAAGTCCTTCATAACCTTCCCCTCCCGTCCAGTCTTCTACTTTACTCCCATCCACATTCTCTTCAATCCAATGATACTGATCTCTCTGTGGTTTCTCTAACGTGACACTCCCATCATCACCTGACTCTGGGCATTTTTACTGGCTGTCACTATGCCTAGAATTTTCTCCCTCCTCAACTCAGACCTCTGGCATCCTTCAAGTCTCAGCCAAAATCCAACTTTCTACAAGAAGCTTTTCCCAGTCCCTTTTAATGCTAGTACTAAAATGAACCTCAACCTCTCTTATACATATCATTTTTTTGCATGTTGTCCCCCCTATTAGATTGTGAGGTACTTGAGGACAGGGTTTTGTTTCTTTGGTGTTTTTTTTTTTTTACCTTTTGTTGTATCCCTAGCACTTAGTTGAGAGTTTCTTAATACGTGCTTATTGACCTGACTTAACTTGACCCTGAGTCAGTCATTTAACTACTAATTACCCTAGACAACTCTTTAAGACTTGTCTAGGGTAATTAGTAGTTAAATGACTGACCTGCATCAGTATGGGTATGACCTGCATCAGTAGAGTTTCCTCACCTGGGAATTCCCTATACTAATGAAACCATAGATTTAGTACCTATCCTTATATCCTAATATTCAGAGGCAGTATGGAAAGGAGGATACAGGGCTAACCTTGGAGTAGGGCTAACCTGGGCTCCAGTCCTCTTTCTGACATGTTAGTTGTTAAGCCATAGATAAGTTACTGAACCTTTCAACTCCCTAAAAATTAAAGGATTATAGAAATCAAACTGGAAAAGACTTTAGAGGTCATATAATCCCACTCTTTAATTTAATAGATGAGGAAACAAAGGCTTGGAGGAATTAACTTGCCCAGGGCATCATAACATGTGTCAGATAGGATGTGAATCCAAGCTTTCTAATGATGAATCCAGGAATCTTTCCACTTCCTCAGGAGTCAAGCCAACTGCAACTACCTCACGCTTTAGGTAAAAAGACATATTGGGAACTCTAAGACAAAAGGTCTCTTAAGAAACATTAACAATGCTAATAATTTTGCTTATTTTCATTGTTTTAAATTCATGGACACAGAGCAAGCCTCATACTGAAGCACCTCAAGGTACTAGTTTGATGCTGTTTTGACTTTAAGGTTTCCAAATCAAAGAACATTCTACGGAAACCTCTAAAGAGGACAGCACAGGAGCAATAGACAAGCCAAATGGATCAGCCAATAAAATCATACCTTCATTTGAGTTGGGGGTAAGGCCAATCTAATTCACTGAAAAATCAAAGTTAAGGAAATTCTGTGAGAGAAATGCAGTTTTAGGCATGTATTTCCTTGCCTATTCCTTGCTCACTCTTGTGCAACTTCTGTTGCATATATTTCGAGGAGAAAATGAAGAGAAGCGCTTTCCCAGCAAAACTGCACAACCACCACCACCCTCCACAACTCGCCCACCACTTTGGAACAAACCTAATTCTTTTCTTCTTCTTCTTCATCTTTCCTTCTCTTAAAGCCATGCTTTGTTCTTACCAAAACAGATATAGGGTTAATTTGAAGAACTATTAAACTCATATTTCAGGTAATGAAGTTTGGGAGAAAAAGGGAGGAAAAAGTTACTAAGTTTGAACTACTTTTACCCAGGTCTAATTGCCTCTACTCCCAATCACTCTATGTATTCTTTATATCTTCTTTTGCTTGAGGGTATATGGCACAGTGGATAGAGTGTCCAGGTCTCAAGTCAGGAAGACTCATCTTCCTGAATTCAAATCCAGTCTCAGATACTTACTAGCTGTGTGACCCTGGGCAAGTCACTTAACCTTATTTGCCTCAGTTTCCTCATCTGTAAAATGAGCTGGAGAAGGAAATGATAAACCACTCCATAATCTTTGCCATGAAACCCCCAAATGGGTTCATGAAGAGTAGGACCCAACTGAAAACAACTAGACAACAACGTATATCTGTCAGGTACCCCTCAATGAAACTTTGAACAGGCTAGACTGGAGGAAAATGCCAACAAGTTATTGGGGCTGAAGCTGCTGCCTTGTCCTTCTATCCTGGACTAAAAAGTGCTCAAATTCCAAATTTGAAAATGTAAAACTCTCCTTTTTAATCCCTGGTAAATCCCCTCCCACTCTTTGTCTTTGTTGTGGAAGCAGGAAAGTAGCCAGAAGCCCCTGGGCAAACTCCTTTTACTCTTAAATACCACTCTTCTGCTACTCTAGGAATTGTGGAAGGAAGGGCTAAATTTAGAATATTTGGATTCCAATTAATTTTGCAACTGATTAGCTTTGTCACTGTTTATGGTAAATAAAGGTGAAAATTCTTAATATGAATGAAAGCTGCAAAGACAGGATGTTAAGGCCCTCCTAGAAGTAATGAATCTTTCCACATGACTTGGTGACATTTTAGAGCAAAAAATATAGACTACAGAAATTAGTAGGGCAAGAAAGCATAGTATTTTAAAATAAATAAGGTATCAAATAATCAAATAAATGCACTGTCAAAAACAGAATAGGAGAAACTGGATGGCAGGTTTAGATTGGCTCATTTTTGTAATTCATGCATTCACTATTCAGAGCATGACATGAGCACAAGCAAAGAAGTTTTACCAGGGCTTTGAAATAGTTTTTCTTCACTCTTCCAGTAGCTGACAAGATTTATTTCCTTTGTAAACTTTTCTTTTCACAGAACAGTAACAGAGACATAGGTAAACTTAATCCCAGAATGCTCAAATCAGGCTCAATTAATTAATTTTACTGTAGTCTTTAACTATGGAGGTCCACTGCAGGGCTGATGTGGTGGACTAAGGAAGGGGTGTGTTTATCTTGCCAAAAAATAACATTTGTGGAAAAAAAAAGTTTCATGAGTCAAATCACTTTTCCCCATCAGCCTGGGACCTTTGCTACACACTCATCCCCTATTTCTAGCCAGTTCTTGGATTTGGCTACCTGTCAACTCAGGCTTGACCAGCCCTATTCAGTTGACTCTCTTAGATCTTGATTTTTATCAGCCCTCTTTCCTCAGGTGGGGTCCTGATAATCGCTCCTTATCACCAATGGTGCCATCCTCCAAAGAGGGCAAACATTAAGTCTGGCAGAAGTTGAAAGAAATCCTCCAGATACAAAAGCTTTGACTGGTACTCCTTGGTGTGCTAACTACCCCCAAGCTCCACCTGACTCCATCATGGAATATATAGTTAATTTTCTCAGATCCATATACCAGTTATCCACAATTACATGGAGTAGCCCTGAAGGTTGCAATGGCGCCTAAAGCAGTCCAAGGTATTAATGGAATTCCTTGAGCCTCTGAGTTTACATCTATGAGGAAAACAACTAGGAAAGTCACAAAGGAAACACAATTCATTGTCTCATAGATACTTCTGTCGCCATGATTTGTCTACAATTAAACAGCATTGGTCTCAAACAAGTCAAGGAAAAGAAAGTTTTACTACTAAGGAGAGTTTTGCTACTAAATTTTAGTAGCAACCACTTTCCAAACTCATCAATGAAAGAAATGAAAAAACAAATCAGAACACCAAACTGGAAAGGATTCCCGCAAGTAACGCCACCGACATGACAAGTCGAAGCTTGGAGCAAAGCTTTCCTTTGCATTTCTGCTTGGACCAATGGAACCCTTCCAGGGCTTCTCACTTACCTGGCCATGGGAAGGAAGTGGGGCATAGGCCATGGGCTGATTCATCACTCCTTTTTGCTTCATGAGAAGCATGCGTTTCTGCTCCTCGTTCAAGTGCACCATCTGAGCTTGGAGCTGGGGCTGGGACTGCTGTGGTGGTGGCGGCTGCTGTTGTGGCGGTTGCTGCGGCAAAGGCTGCTGCTGTTGCTGCTGCTGCTGCTGCTGCTGAATATACGGCATCATCGGGTTTTTGTTGGGATTGGCCATGGGTGGCGTCATCCTCTGACTCAGCTCTGCGTTGAAGTGGGTCAGGGGCTTAGTGTTTCCATAAGTTAGTATGCTGGGCTGCTTGTTTAAAGAGTTTGTACCCAAGTTATTTGGTGGCTGATTGATCATATTCATGTGGTTCTGGGGGAGGTAGTTATTCATTGTCGTCTTCTGTAGGTTGTTTGCCATGGCAGGCACTATGGGGTTTTGGTTGTTAAAGGCTTGGGGGTACATCATCGGGCTATTTGGTTTGTCTGCATTGAAGGCTCCTCCATAGGGACTGGATGGGGGCCCCACTGGTGACCAGCTTGAAGTCTGATTTGGATGCTGTTGCTGTGGCTGCTGCTGCTGCTTCTGCTGGATGAGTTTAGCTCTTTGCTGCTGTTGGGCAGCCATTTGTTTGAGCTGCTCTGCAGGAGATAAATCTGCGCTGGAAACTGCCACAGGACCAGGCCCCGAACCACTCACAGTTCCTGCTGCTGGAGTCATGAGATAGCCATTTCCTGGCCTTGATGAAGCTTGGCCTGGAGTATGAGCTTGGTTAGGAGTTTGGGGGGACTGGACAGCACAGGTTGCTGCTGGTGAGCTGGCAGGATTTGGTGCCGCAGGAGTACTGGAAACAGAAGGTATGCTACTAGCAGTGGAGACATTGGAAAATGGCGGACCAGAAGATGACGGTCTCCCCTGGGGAGATCCCATGGGGACATGAGCAAATGGAGAGTGAGAAGGATCACTCTTTACGCTCGCACTCTCTTGAGAAAGAGGTGTCTCAGTGGTTGGCCGAGAGAATTCCGGCTCCTTCTTCTCTTCAAAGTCTTCATTGAATAAGTCCTGTATGTCATCTTCAGGGACAGTGTTGGCCAGCTCGTCTATTAACTCCTGCCACTCTTGATCATTGAGGTTAATGTCTGAGAACAACTTGTTCTGATTGGAAAGTGACGTTTCTGAAGTGTCTATGCAGGTGGGGTCATCCAGTGGTTCTTGTTTGAGTTCCTTGTTTTGTAGGATGGCAAAGCTATCCTCAAGGTCACTGCAACCATTCATGGAAAGTTTAATCTCTGGCAGCCTGCCATTCTTGCCCAGCTCTTCTATAATCCCTGGAGCATGAGCTCCACTGTTCGGTAATGGTAAAGAAGGCTTCATGTCCAGCTGGTGAAGAGGAGAAGCAGAAGGCAAAGGCATATTGTTGGGCAGATTACTAATAGTGTCCATTGCTGCAGGAATGTCCTTCCGGATCCGCTTGCTTGTTGGGGAAAAGTTCCCATCGCAAGCGCCATTCTGCTGCTCTCCATTAAGGGGGGACCGGGCTCCTTCCAACTTCCTTTTCACAGTCTCTTGTAGCTAGAGGGAAAAAACACATATAAGAGAGAAAGTCTAAGTCATTGGTCATAGATTTGAATTTTGTTATCATAGCATCACAACGAACAGAGCATCAAACTTTCTGTTCCCAGAATCCCCTATTAGTGGATTAGAAACTCACAAGACAGAAACACTTCTACTACATTCCTAAATCAGCACCAGAATAATAATGGATTCTAAGAAAAAAGAGACCATACCTTGCAGGGAACCCAACACCACATATCAGCTCTGTTTTTAGGATTAAGGAACCAGAAAACAAATCATAGATTGGGGGGGGGTGAGTAGGAGTTAAGGGCAGTGCTTTTGCAAAGGATAAATCATCTGTTGTTATTTTCAAAATCGATGCTAGGCATACGACTTGGAGGTGGATTAATCATCTTGGAGGGGAAGATTCAGTTATATCTTAAAAACATTAAGACTGTCACATTGTAATTAAGAATATTCAAGAAGACAATATTTTAAATCCAATATTTAAATTCAATAAAGAGCTTTGTAACTTCTGCACTGAAATGCCATACCATGTTAATAACACACTAAAAACATAGAAAGCATGTCAAGAAATGAGGGTGATGAGGGCTTCAAAAATGACTGTCCAACAAGTCTCCATAATGCTTCTTCTCTGAATGGGTTTAGGGAGTAAAATTTGCCAAAACCAGTTTAAAAGTAAAACAGAAGAAACAGTGCTTAGCAACGAGTAAATGCTTAATAAATACTTTTCATTCATTCCTTCATTCACTCATTCACTCATTCATTTATTCATTCATCCATTCCACAGAGATGAAGAATCAAGTGTTGCAGTAGAGGACACACAAGACATACTATCTAATCCCAATTCCCCAAGGTCAATTAAATTAACTAGAACCCTGGCAACAAAGGAAGGAATGGTCCCACAAATCTGACATTTATTCACTGGAGTTTCACTGTCTCATTGAGATGGGAAGATCTTGAACAGGATCCAAACGGAAAATAAGCCTAACTTAAGAAAAGTCATATGGAATTCAAATGCTTTAATTTGGAGAAAAGTAAGCTGAGAGAAGACTATAAATATACACATTATCACCACATGAAAAATGCCCATCATTCACCACTCATGTCCACAGAGGTTAGAAAGGAGGATCTTAAATTTCAGTAAGGAGAAGTAAGGCCAGCCACAACAAAGAGATCAGGATCATAAATTTAGATCTGGAAGGTATTATAAAGATCAGCTAGTCCAATAACTCCATTTTGCAGATGAGAAAACTGAGAGCTAAAAAAATTCAGTGATTTGCTCAAAGTCAGACAGCTAATGAGTAGCAGATCCTAGCTTTGATCCCAGATTCTATGATTTCAAATCTAGGGCTCTTTCCTCAACATCACAAATGAAGCTGGGACACAGAATCTGTATCTTTCACAGAGTTGGCACAACAAATTACAGAATTTTTTTCACATTGGAAGGAATCTCTATAGCCATGCATTGAGTCCTATCCATAACTCACAACAATATATTTGGCAAGTGGACTCCAGCCTTTGATTGAAAACTTCCAATGAGGGGAAACCCATCACCTCCCAAGATAGCCCATTCCCTTTTTGGATAGCTCTAATTGCTAGAAAGATTTGTTGAACTGAAATCATAATTAAATTGAACTAAACAAGCTGGCAAAAGAGGTTAGAGAATATCCTTCTTTGGAGAGCTTTAAGCATTGAATTTATATTCATTTAAACAGAATGGTTTAGATACCATCCTGGTTAGAAGCATGTGGTATACCACATGTTGTAGTTCCTTTCCAATTTCATCAATTTAGTAAACTATATCGGTATAACCATATAGTAAACCCTATTATCCACCAGTCTTCCACCATCCAGTATGACAGCCTTTGCATGTCCGGGAGTGTCAGGGATTTGACAAATTAGAGCTAGGGGAGAAGGATATGTAGAGCTAGTGAGTGTTACAATAGCTTTTTTCCCCCATATTGTTGGAAGGCATATATGGGGAAAGAGAATAGAAAGGAATGAGGCAGAAGATGCTCTTAGCCCTGGGAGCCATATACACTAGTTAGCCTCCCTAAGCACACACTACTTTGTTCTAAGGGAAAGGCATTGCTTGCACATCCATCGTAACATAAAAACTTGATTCTTTCTGGTACTTCCCTATCAAGAGCCCATCTTCTGACACTCAGAATTGTGGAAACTGCAAAGTAAATCTCATATTTAGGAAGAATAATTCTAGATATGATAATATACATGAATGTTACCTTATTAGAAAGAGAATCACAGATTCACTGAGTTAGAAGAGACCTCAGAGGTCATCTAGTTCCTTCTATATCTGAACAAGAATCCCCAGTACCACCTCCTTGACAAGGGATCATCCAGTCTTCTTGGAGACTTCCACTGGAGACTTCTGGGCAAGATGGCTCCTGGAAGCAGGCTATCCAGAGTCTATATATCCACTCCAGAAAAGCCCTGAAGTTTTACACCAAGCCAAATAATGATAGCAAAATATAATGAGAAATTATAGTAAGATTTTTTTCCACCCTAGAACTGCATAAAAAACTCAGCTATAAGACCATGGGAAATAGGAAATTTTTGCTTTGCCCGCAAAGACAGTGACAGTGCAAGATAGCTTTCCGATGTGATCAGAGCTGGATCAACAACATCTATAGCTAACAAAGACACACCCCAATCATTAGAAATAGTAAGTCCTACCCACTTCTTTCCCCATTGTTTACTAAAGCATTCCTTTTGCCCTCTCTCTTTTACCCTCTTCAAAACTCTCAGAACAGAACTGATCCAATTCCCAGGAACTGTTTTTCTTATTAACTCTTTCAGTGCCCTTTGAAGATTTTAAGCTTCTGAAGGGGCACTTCTTTCTTCTCCCCCAATTAGAATACCATCATACTATACCATCATACTATACCATCATACACCCCCCTCTAATAGTTCAAATAAATTTACCTTTCTAACTTTCTCTTGATTCTTATGCTAAAAGTCTTTTATTCCATTAAAGATCCATTTTTCCCCAGTAAAATTATACTCAGCTTTTTAGGGTAAGTTATTCTTGATTGTGAGCCTGTATCTTTTGCCTTTTGGAATATTGCTCCTGCAAGAGCAGGAGGATAGCTCAAAGAAAGCTCCAGGGTAGTCAGAAAGTCCCAGGGAGGGGACCCTGGAAGCCTCAGGGAGTTCCATTAGGCAGTAACCAGCATGGTGCTGGTGCCACAACACTCAGATCAAGGACATCCCAAGTCAAGAGACCTTGAAGTACCTAAAACTCTGTCCTAGAGATTAAGAGGAACCTGATGATCTGGAACTCTGACCTTCAAAGATTCAGAAGGTAGTGAGCGGGAGAGGGTGAAGGAACCCAGGTGACTCAGGAGAACAGCAAGCAAAGTTGACTCTCCTATCCAAAGTACAGCAGGGGACAGAGCCTGGCCCTTGAATGGAGCCCCAATGCAGGAACTAAAGTTGGAGAAATGAGGAAATCAAAGACTGACCAATATAAAAAATTTTTATGGATCTAGTGATCCCCCAAAGAAGAAGATTCCTCTGGAACAACTGTAAGTGGAGACTGAAAGGAAAAATCGTTTTACTATGAGGACTACAGGAATACCTAGAAGAAAAGAAGGGAGAGATAAAAACATGAAATTAAAGCCCTGGAGAAAAGAATTGGGAGGAGAATAAATAGTTCAGAAGAGAAGGTGGTAAAAACCTTACCCCAATAATGAGCTCCTTATAGACAAAAACATACCAGATAGAAGTCAATACTCCATGAGACAAGAAGTACTAAAACCAAATCAAAAGACTGAAGAAGGGGGAAAAAGTTAAGAAAGCTGATATTTTAAAAACTGACCTGGGAAAAAAAAGTCAGAAAGAGATAATTTCAAAACCATTACTATAATTAAGTAATTATAAGTGAAAATTGCCGAGATCTATTAGAAGCAAAAGGTAAAGTGAATTTAGAAAGACTTCATCAGTCACTACCTGAAAGGAACTCTAAAAAGAAAAGTCCCAGATCACACCCCAAATTCAGGGGAAAAAATACTGAAAACATCCTGAAAGAAATAGTTCAAGTACTAAAGTAACATAGTATCACACAAGACTTAGCCCTTTCTACTATAAATGAGGAGAACTTGGGATGCAATATTCCAAAAGGCAAAAGATACAGGCTCACAATCAAGAATAACTTACCCTAAAAAGCTGAGTATAATTTTACTGGGGAAAAATGGATCTTTAATGGAATAAAAGACTTTTAGCATAAGAATCAAGAGAAAGTTAGAAAGGTAAATTTATTTGAACTATTAGAGGGGGGTGTATGATGGTATAGTATTGACATTCTAATTGGGGGAGAAGAAAGAAGTGCCCCTTCAGAAGCTTAAAAATCTTCAAAGGGCACTGAAAGAGTTAATAAGAAAAACAGTTCCTGGGAATTGGATCAGTTCTGTTCTGAGAGTTTTGAAGAGGGTAAAAGAGAGAGGGCAAAAGGAATGCTTTAGTAAACAATGGGGAAAGAAGTGGGTAGGACTTACTATTTCTAATAATTGGGGTGTGTGAGAAGAGTATTCAAATATGAAGGAAGGGGTGGGAGGAGTGAGCATCAGATAAACCTCACTCTTATCTGAAATGGACAAAGGAAGGTTGACATACAAACAGTCTGGTGTAGAAATATATCAAACTCAAGAGGAAAAACTAGGGAAATGTGTGTGGATGGAGTGGGGTTAAGATGAGGATAATACTAGGGAGGGGAAAGATACAAGCAGGACAGCAGCTCTTCCACTGGTTCTATGTTTTGAGAATAAACAATTCCAAGATCATGGATTTATATTTCAAAGGGATCTAGGAAGTCATCTATGATACAGGATAGAATAATGTGAAACTCTTCTCTGCCTGTCCCATGTACAGAATTCCCAGCTGACATAAATATTCAACTACAATCAAAATATTTTGTGTTGCTTCAAAAAGAAAACAGAAGCAACAATAATATTCCCCTTTTGATGGTTGTAAAATAT